AATTTCTTATTGTTTTTTATGATCATGTAATGTAATCAGATTAAATACATACATTTTTTTAATCACATATTAATCAAAAAATCATTAAATTCTTCAATTTAGTACTTTTTTAATTCATGACACAGAAAATATTTTTCACAATATGTTTATTTGATGGTAATTAGAAAATTATACGAATTTCTTACTACATTTTATTAAACTTTATTTTGTTTTTCTTTTGTTAATTTTGCACTCATATAAACGTTTAACCAGCCGATAATAATCAACTGTTGTATAAACTTTGCAGTAAAAAAGTTCGTTTTAAAATTAATCATGTTTCACCTGAACAGAAGACTCTACAAGTTGACCTAAATGTTGCTAACTGTTGCTAACGGTATTGGTATGGGTAAATATAATTTCAAAAACATTACTGACACGTATTTTAGATCGAAAAGTAAAACAATGGATTTTAAAGAGATTAAAGAGTTTGTCGAAGTTATTAACGGTTAGTACGTTAATAAAAACAAATGGAAGAATTAAATATATTGTACAGTCAGGTTGGCATTGCTTTGACTTTTTGTGAAATTTTCGAGACTGATACTTTCTTATCCCTTTCTTATGAACTTCTTATTATGATGTCTTGTAAGCTTGTAAATAAGGAAATACATCATGACTAACTAAGAAGTATGAAGAAGCATTACTAAGTATATTTTAGCATTGTATCTTGAGTTAGGCCAGGTATTGTATAGCAGTGAACTGGGTCTAAATAATACATCTTGATGCAACTACTACAAAAATTTGGCGTATACTTCAGCAATCATCAGTAAAATAGTCTTTATATGAAAATCAGAGTACTGCCCGACAGTATTAATCTTGAAAGTATTTCAGATATTTTTTGCATGTTTATACTCCAGTTATTTGGACTTTGTATAAGTTACTGTAAAAATCTTGTTTTAATGAAAGTTTATTTTCTTTCAGCTTTTCAAGAGACCAAGTTTAATCGTTCATGTATACTTCTTTTCTTTTCAATAAGTTCATCTGCGCTATTACTAATATAACTATAGTATACTGACCAACGCTAAAAAGTACCATTTCTTATCAAAATAATATGAATGTATCAAGGTGTATTGGTAAAGTGATAATAAATAATAAACTAAGAATAAAGAATTTTCATCACAAAATTTTTATTCTATTTATTTATAACTACACATAGTAAAGTACGAGTATTAGCATCTAAATACACTTTTAATAAGTCGTATTTTCTTAATTTAATAAATTTTTTTATTAAAATCAAAACAAATAGTTAATTCAGCAGAATATTTTTGTTTTTCTCAGTCGATTTACATCATTGGCTTTAACCGCACCTTAAATTTTGTTTCATTACAATCTCGTATGTTTTTATTATTATCTGATATCTTGGAGCACCTTATAACAATTTTTAAATAAAACAGTTTTTATAAACCATTTCTATATTGTGGGATCCTAACTATGATATTCGAGGCGTGTGCGATAGCACACACTAGGCTCGGATAGGGTGATTGGGAAGACACAATAAAACACAATAAAATTAAACAGCATAAAATAACAACTTTTAATGTCACTCAAAGGCCAAGAAATCACAGTTAATATTCATAAAAATTATAAAGGTCAAAATTATACAGGAGAAAATGAATACTGTCTATAGTCTTAAAGCAACGAACTATTGAAATATATAAAGATGCAGAATGTAGAAAGAAAACAGTCAAGTTGAATAACACAATATGTAAACACGTACTGGCCTTGAGCTTGCAAGAGAGTTTGAAAGTTATACGAAATAAATGTGAAAATGAAAGCACTGATAGAGTATAACTGATTGAAATATTGATTAACTATAAACCACGGTCTGTAAAAAATGCACAACTACTGTCTGTGGAAATACACAAGAGTTTCACTGAGTCTTGATGTTGACAATCACTGGTAGTTCCATGAAATTAACTATTTGAGCTGGTCTGCAAATTATGCAGTGAGCAACTTAAACAAAACGCTAAGTGCACTGCACTGCACAACTGAGTTTTGTCCACTGTATTAAGAGAGTTAATCAGAAGATTTACACTAGAATTTAAGGTGATGTATGCACCTTTGAATACTAGAGTTTGGCAACGTAAATTAAGAGAGTCTTTCTTCGACGAGAGCTGAGTATAATCTGGCGCTTACAGTATACAAAGCTTGCCGCGTGAATACGCACACACACACCTGCAGCGCGCCAAGTTGACCAAGCGCACACGCACAGAGCGTTGAGCCGACGGAGACTACAAGTGTACACAATGTACACAAAAGCCGGGCCTACTGTCGGTCGCTCTCATTTCCAACATATGACAATAAGACAAAAAGTTAAAGTAATGATGAACCTTGCTGGTATTTTTTCAATAGTCGACTGAAAATGCAATGATAAACAGTGAAGTGCATTACATTTAAGACAAAAAAGTGGTTGTTCTGATGTACAAAAGTCATTTTTTATTCACGAAAAAACGTTTTAAATAAATACACTGTTTTATTTCTGATATTGATTTTAACACTATCATTTACTGTATGAAACTAGGAAAAAAAATTTTATGTGACTGTTTGATGTTTAAAATGTCGTTTACACTCCAGTCACAAATTTATCTTAGCTTCACAAATTATGAAAAAACTATGACAATAATCTTTAAGTTTTTATAATTTACAACACTCAATCTGTCGATAACGAAGACGATACTTACATCAAGAATATAGATAAAAATAACTTAAGTAGCATCAATAAAAACAGAGATGGTAAAACTAATAATAATACTTTGGGGTTTGGTGTGCAATACATTTAAAGTTCAAGTTTTACATACGAAACCATCATAACTTGTATTTTACCTGCTTGCTTAACATAGTCATTTATTTATTTTTTGAAAAACATTAACAAATGCAAAAAAATTAATTTCATAGCAAAGACAGATTCTAACTTTTAATTTATTACTCTCATCAAAATTTAAGAATCTTTTCCTTCTTTTAGGAGCAACGTATTATAAACCGCTTATAATAATATACGTTAATGTCTTCAACTCTTTATCAGTTATGTACATACTCATAAAGAACAACGACATACAGCCTACGAAATCTTACAAATTGCATACTATACTCTTTAAAATATATGTGATTAACTTTAAAAGTTTAAATTTTTTCGTAGTTTCTGTTTTCCAATTAATTTATTGACCCCATCATCAACGTTAAAAAGAAAAAATTAAAACTCACATCAAATACTTAAGTTATTGTATATGCAAGAAATAAATATGACATGTAGGCCTAAGTTTCGAAGAGATATCTTTTTTTATCCATGAACTAATCACCTTATATCTAAATTTTAAATACCTATCATCTTGATTCTCAATTCTTTTAATTACGAAAATGCTTTTATTCATGTACATTTTACTTTAATTATTACAATTTTTTTTTCTTATCATCTAAAATATTTTTCATCAGATTGATTCAGCACTTACTATATACTATTTCCACCATTTAGTATTCATGTAACATTGTTATTAAATGCCTTGTTACTTTTTTAATTTTGACAATTCCAAAAATAACTCTTTTAAGTCACTTATTATTTTCAATAGATTGGTAGAACTGGATTTAGTAAAGTAGTAAACATTATATTTTCTATTTTTATCATCCATATTTGCACATGCATATGATTCATTTAGTAATGTGTTACACAGGAGAACGTTCAGTTGAATACCCCTAGATAAACTTGTTAAAACAATTTAACTGAATTCCTATGGCTGGAGATGATTAAATTCTTTATACAGGTACAGTAATAATTTAATGTTTAAAATACGAACTAATATTGGCAATACTGCATTACATTACAAGTTTGATGATAATAATGACATACCCATTAAATTCACAGAAATGTTGCACATGTGTTTTCAAAAGTTTTATATATTTTTGAAGGTGGCATCATCCTTTTTTAACTACTTACGTACTGACGAGATATAAAAATTTGTAGTATTGTCATTCAAGTACTCCAGATTCAACAGTAATAAAAATGCATAGTTTATGATGTCCAAATAATGTTTCACTTTTAAGTAACTTTAAAATAGCATTTCTTGTAACACACTGTCCTATGGAACTTAATATTAGAATGATTTACTCTTCTGAGTGAAATGCTGAGTGGTGCACATCTAATAGATACTTATGGCTCTTTCTTCTAATTTTATTGGGTTCATTAAAATAACATGTAGACAACTAAGATTTTATGAAAATTTAATGAAAAGTTATTTGTTATCTTCTATTCTAAAAGACATAACGAAGTAAGTTTATTTTTATGAAAAATATGTAGCAATTGGTTCCATCACATATACACTCTGCTTGTATCCCTTGTTTGGTAGGGTACAATACAATAGAGCTACCTTAAAGAATTTGTATTACGAAATTCGATTTAGTTATTAGTGAGGTTTGTTGTTTATATTTAGTACGGTAAGGATTTTTCTAAAAGTATATTATCAGTGTAAATCACAATCAGAATTTGATATTAAAATTTTAGATGAAGTTTCTTTTGGATATAATACTTAATTTAAATGTATCAGTTTTTCTATGTCTATAGTACAATGCAGACTAGGAAAAAAATTGTTTATACGTATTTAATTTAAAGATTTTCAGTTTTTTCTTTCCTAATACTTGCTCATTATTTAAAGCACTAAATTAAATAATTTACGTAATTTAAGACTAAGGTGGATAATTTCCTTACAAAAATAATCATAAAAATAATAATTTCAATCTCGTAAGGCAATGATCCAGTATAGCTCTAGAAAAGACCATTAAAAAAGAAAAAGCTCTTTGTTTTGACTGTTCAAATCGAATTATCTTATAAAAATTAGATGCTCATGATTTATTAATTAATTCACGACTTAACGAGGTTGGCACCTATATTTTAGTAAACTTTATACTAACTAACTAAGTAACAAATAATATTAGGACATTATTTTTCAAAACACGTAAAAAAATACTGAGAACTTCTTATCCTTAATTCAAATTTTAAACCTTTAATATTAACAGATTTAGTATTTCTGTTGTCAGTGTAAATATTATCTCATTAACAGTTGATTATTATCACTTTTTACGCACATTGTCATGTAATAGCTTATTATTAACACGAGTAAAATTTGATCAATTAGGTTATCAGGTCGATCTTACAGATCAAGGTACATAATTTGCGTGGCAAAACCAGCACCACAAGCAGCTAAAGTACTGGCCACGCAAACGACAGCCGTGGTTGTGCCAGATATACTAACAACAGTTCCAAGGAAACATGATAGCAGGAACTGAGCTAGGAAGACCATTGACGAGACTATCGCTACGTCAGTACCAAGACCACGGACTCCTTGCTCCTGAATTGCTTCACCCTCAGCTGTGACTGCAAACTACAAAAAAAGCATTATTTACAGATGGAGTTTATTATAACTTATAATAAAACTACAAGATTATAACTGTATCAGTAATGTTACTTTATACGGTTAAATATCTTTGACTAAGAAGGGATGCTATATCGTACATAACTTCAGTTGGACAATAAATTTTTTGTGTTAGCAAGATAATTATACCTTTTTTATTAAATTATGATGCAAATACTAAAAACAAATGCTATTCATATCGATGAATGTCAGATTCAATCAAATCATCTGTTTAACGTCTGTTAAAATTTGCAGGCAGCTTGTAAAAGTATTCGGAAATGAAACTTTCATAAATTTTCTTCAGATTGCAAGTTGACATTAATCAGCAGAGCGTGCGTTCTACTGTAGAAAACGCCCTTTGGTTCATCAGTTGATTTGAGCTAGATGTAGAGAAAATCCTAACAGTTTTTGGGGCTTTAGGCTATTACAACCTGATTGAATCTGCTAATCAACCAAACAATGTTTACTGTACTCTAAAATATACACTATTAGCTCTACAAGTAGGAAAACCAACCTTTGACCATACGATAACTATGAAAGTTTTATTTCCACATACTCTCCATATGGGCAGAGCCTTAATGTATATTATAAATAAAGTTCTAAATTTGAGATTCTCCTAATTACTATTGCTTCATGCACATTTTAGTGTAAACTTGAAAGGGAGATGTAGAAACAGAGAAGAACTCGGTAAAAAAGTAGTCTAAAGTCCTTAATAACTTAATAACGAACAAAATTTGTTGAGTCAATGATTTTATGAGTTAAATTATGAATCAATACAGTACTGTCTAACTTCCAAATAAACTTCTAGTAACTGTTACTATCTTTTAACAACACAGTTTAAAATAGTCATTTATGTAACAAAATATTTAAAACTGAATTTTTTTAACTACTTTCATTTAATAAAATGATTCAAAGAGCGCGCGGTGGCTCGGTCGGCTAGGTCGTGGATTGGCACGCGGGAGACCGTGGTTCGATTCCCGGCCATTGCGACTTTCGGGCAAATACCTCTGTGATTCTCACATGTGCTTTTTCACCACGCAATGCTCCTCGAGGAGGGTTTAGGTGACCTTCTCGCAGCAAAAATTGCCTAATTTCTCCCTACCCCCTCCCAGTAGTGGGAGGCCTCCCATCCCTTTCCTTGTCCCTTTCCCAAGTGCTAAGTGCCCATAGTAGTGCCCTTAATAAAGGAGCCGGACGTAGAGCACTATAATATAAAAAAAAAACCATATATATATGTGCTTCTNTATCATGCCGTAGATTACATAAAAAAAAAGTATATGTTAGAATGGACTAATATTTCATGCAAAAATGATTTATTTTATTATTTTAATGAATAAGAACTTACCGTTCCAGAGGCATGATAGTGTGCGATCAGTAGGTATGGCATAGTGAAAAGTGTGGAGTACATGACACCAGCAGTCCATGAAAATAAAATAACACCAACGCGATGTTTTGTCAAAGCCATTAGCATCATTCCACAGCTATAGAATAATAGTCCACAGATGTAAACCTTACGGGCTCTAAAATGTAAAAAAAAAAAAAACAATGAATAAACCAGTTTTAATCTTGTGATTATTATAAACGATACTTAGACATACTTATATCGTTCAATCAATTTCTCTATAACCAAAGAATAACAAGCACAAGAGAGGGAATACATAGACATTCCCCAGCATCCAAATCGTACTCCAGATTCATATAACGCTCGTCCTTCCGATCCTTCAGGTGCCTGAAAAGTCAATAAATTAGTAAACTTCATACTAATCATTAAACTAAAATTCTCTTACATTTAATGAATAAAAACAATATAATTCATAATTAGTATTTATTAAAGTTTTGCTAGGTAGACTAAATGAATCGTGAAATATGCATTATGCAACGCATAAATTAGTATACTGCCTATATATTAGCTTTTTATGAAGAACACATAATGAATTACAATTAATATCTGTTTAGTACAACTTTGAGTAATTTACATTATGCGATTTGGATACTAACTAACCTATTCATTATTAAGCATTGTTTTTTAACGAAGGTAAACATTTTAGCCCGCTGGAAATAGCAGAGTCTTACATGTCTTTTCACACCACGATAGCAATCACTTTTTTAAACAATTTTTTAACGGCATTTTTCAAATTTTTAGTGCTGAAAGAATTAAAAAGATCGAGACTGATTTAAGTCTACCGCTGTTAATATCATGTTATATAACAATACAGATTTCTATGATTATATGAACATAATCTATGATGAAGTGGAAAAAAAAAAAACAAGAAAAAGAACTAAAAATTCTACATGTTTGCTCATCGCATCTAATGAGAACTGCGTAAAAAACTTTAAAAAGTATTTAAAAACAAAAAAAATCAAGCCTTAGCACGTTTGTGTGTGACTTTACTGATAGCTAATAAAATTCACGCGTCCAATTTTAATGGGGCCTCAGCTAACTCTACGTTATTTATCCAAATATACAGCATAGCAACTGAAGATGTAAAGCTGTCAAACCTTGTGCATAATGTCTTACGGCAGTTCTACCAGTAAACGAATTAACAATGAAAATTTGATGAAAATTTGTTTACAAATAAATAAAGTTATAACAATAACACCGTCAAAATTTGAAGGCATTAGGGTTCCTAGGAACCGAGTAATAAATATTCTTATTCAGCTAATTTTGACATGTAGGCTTATGGACTGTCATCTTTTTAAGCGCTTCTATTGCATTTACCTCATTTATTAAGAATCAATTTGAGATGAAAATTTTATCAATGATCAAAAAATATCTAATGATCGTATTTAATTGTATAAAACATTTCAAGGGTACTACTGAGAGAAGAAATTAATTAGTAACGAAGGTAAAAACTACAAAAGGTTACGTTGTCACAGGAGAGCGAGAAAAACAGACAACATACAAAACTATAGAGAGCATCGCATGGACTATAGCGACGGATTGAACCTCTTTAAGTAAAAATAAAATTAGAAGATAATATGAATTTATCAGATTTCGAAGACGAAGAAAAAGAAGTAACACACATCGAAAAAAATTATAATAATATTGACAAATGAAAAAAAAGAAAACGCTTGTTATATTATAAACAAATTCTATTTTTTTATAGGTTGTATCCAAGAATCGTATGCAACAACATTTAATGTAAATAAATTTTTTGAAGTGGAACTTCCTTAGGCGTGCCTTATATGGAGAGTTGACCCGTAAAACGAGTAAGCGTACGAACGCTGCCGTTCACATATCTATATATTATCTATCCGTACCAGCCATCCCGTGCAGCGCAGAGGATCTGTTTTTGTCTCTCTTCCTCTCTCTCCCTGTCTCCCTCGGTGTTGTATGCACACAAAGGTGCGCTGCAGTTACTCTATATTATAAAGAGCTGAGTCCATAATATCGACCCAAAGGGATCTGTGGTAAATGTATGTGTATATATAAATGTGTGCATTTGTGTGTACTTAGAAACTTGTCACAGTAGCAATAACGATGATAGAACCACCGAGCATACCAACCTCAGGAGTTAAGCTATACCCACCAAAATTAAATCCTTTTATAGAGCGTATAATACAAGGTGCGGCACGTACCCTAAAGCAATCACGCAAGCTTGCAAGCTGATGCATAGTCCCCAGGATCCACACGATCCGCAGAGCCAACACGAAAGTCCCATATCATCGGATCTGGAGGAGTGTATAAAAGAGACAGATACCAGGAGGAAGGCAGATAGTTGAACTTCGAGTTCTATCAAGGCCAAACTGCTGTAGAGCTTACAACGCTCAGTTTGACGGTCCCTTACAAACCAAAAGGCACGTACACCTCTGTATACTTTTTACACTTAGCCAGAATAGTCCGGAAGTCAAGTAAACGGTTCCCTAGGTCCAGGTTGACAACCTAGACATCATCTCCACAAGCTCTTGGAAAAGAACTTCTCATCAGGGATACAAACGGCTGCCCAAGCTCTAGAGATTTCCAAACACCTAGAGGCCGATTTAAAAAGTAGCAGGGACCTACCTGACCGTGGCCTGGTACTTTTACGACCCTAACAATGCCATCTGCTGGACGAAGAACGCCATCTATAGCGTCGGCCGTGATGGTCAAAAGTTTGCTGCCAACCGCAACTTTCAGAGCGCTTCTTTATCAGCGCCACCACCGGCCCAGCTGTGAACTATCGCTGAAGTACATATTTGTATATATCTATATACAGTTCACAGCGATAGTTCACAGCTTGGCCGTCAGTGGGGCTAATAAAGAGGCGCTCTGAAGGTTGCGGTTGGCAGCAAACTTTTGCCCATTGTGGCCAACGCTGGCCATTTACAGCTTTGTGCTCCAAGCCCAAGGAACAGGTTTGGATGTCTGAGGGCTAACAACAAAAGTTTTCGCTCAAAAGCCTCTTAAGATCCACCATCTAGAAGACGAGGAACAAACGGGGTATAGATTGTTTAAAAATCACTAGTACACACTTACACTGTTATTCTTTTCGTTCCAATCCACGCTACTGTATGAGCCAGGACATATTTGAAGAACCCTGAGTCCATCTGGACACACCGTTCGATAGGAGACCACGAGCCAAGGTATTGCGAATGAGCTCCGAACTCACATGGACACATCGTCTGAGGAGGGGCACCACCAGCCGATTCTCCTGCGTCATTTCAACCGGTGGCACCAGAGGCTTTGCAGTAAAAACATCACTAACCTGCCAATCTACAACATCCGGGACTCCACTGCAATTAGATCTTCAGCTCCTGCCATCCACGAGAGGGAGTTTTCAGTTATCTTTATCAGCTAAGTTTAATTTAAGAGCGCAAGATGTCATCGATGTCAGGTCACTGATTCGTAGAATCCATTCAAGAAGATCCCCCTCTTGATAGCTTTGACGACATTATAGTGATAAATAAACCATGAACTGATCGTTGTGAGGACAGCACAGACCCCTCTTTGAATAATGAAAGCACAATTTTAATAGCAGGCAGTTTCACAACGATCAATCAAAATCAGCTGCGAAATCCAACAATAAATTAAAGATCGCACACAAGAAACTTAACAAACTAAATAATTTGATCCCTGAATTAAATGGTAGGGAAATACCAATTCCAATATTTATCAAAGAATGCCAAGCCGTTGACAATTATGTTTGAACCCCGAGGAGAAATATCTCTTTATGCAAACCATTAAGATTAAAATTACCAGGGATGCACGCAACCAAATTATTTACAAAACCTTCACAAATCTCAATCGCTTTTTCTCTTAACTTAAAGAGATCTTTTTGCCTCAACATAGTATAACCCAGCTTCAAGCCGAGTTATCCCGTGTGGTTCAGGGAGCACAAGAGAGCATGTCTAAATACGGACTGAAGGTCAGGAAAATTTTACAAACCGAAGTAAGCTTTACTTATTTCGGAGGATTATCACCCCAAATCTATTAATATAATGATCCAAGGGGCTGCCCACGTTGCTGTGGAGAGATTCCAGCTTGGGTTGAGTCGAAATTTTCGGTTCCAGATGCCAAGCCACGTAACTAATAATCTTGAATCGACAATTAGTATAGCCAAGAGTATTAAACGCATGAAAAATCAGTCTTGGGAACTGCGTAAAGGAGTCCAACTGCGGTAGAACACCCCCTTTCAATAGACGAGCTTATTATATAAATAACAATGACAATCGCAGAAATAACCATAGTCACAATAGTAAATCAAGCAATCATGGAGCTCCAAAAGACGATAATCAGTGTGATTATAAAAGAAATAACGACGAACCTGATAATAAAATACCATCTATTCGCAATTGTTATAACTGTGGGAAGTCTGGACATTTCCGGTGTGAATGTCAAGCTGATTATTGCAATTATTTTGACGCGACTGGACATAACTGCAACAATTGTAACTCACCTCGGAATCGAACTAAATGCGAATTTAGCGGTAAGTTAAACTCGAACCGAGTTCATCGAGTGAGCGTGACGGCGGACCCATTAACATACCCACAAAACACGCCCAAGAACGACCAATAGTTGCAATCGGTAGACCTGGAAGACTAGAGAGTTACCGGCGATTTCCCTAAAAAGCCCCGAACTGAGCTCTGACTCGCCAAACTTCCTTGTTGACACTGGATCTGAATTAAATCTTATTAAGCGTAATTTAGGGAAAAGTAACGTAAAAATATCTTATGATTTCATGATCGGACTGACCGGGATCAGTGAAGAGTTTGTTAAAATGCTAGGTCGAATTAAATCAAAAATTAATAATGTAAAAACTTCCGCGCACCTAGTGCCTAGTGACTTTTGTATACCCTACGACGGGATATTAGGCATCGACTTTTTGCAAACACATAAAGCTATTATTTCATTTTCGGAAAGGGAGGTGACTTTTGGGTGAAATTAATCCGTGGATGTTTTTATTCATCATGATATTCTTTTACTTCCTGCTTGAACTCGAAGCTTGTGTAAGATTCAAATCAGCAACAGTAATAAATCTGATGGATACCTATCGAGGCTAGTGGCTGGACCTGGTATTTTTGGGGGAGAATGCCTAGTAAAGAACACAAATGGGTACGCATTCGTTTTTATCACCTATAGCATAACAGAGAACATCAATTTAATTATACCCCCGATATTACTAGAAGCTTATTATAGCACACTTATGTCCGTCCGCACGATTAAAGGGAGTTCAGATGCAGAACAATAGGTTGTCCTTCAAAGTAGGATAACCATGACAGTTCAAGAGCTAAATTTAGACGGACTAAATGAGGAGGAAAGAGATCATGTAACTCATTTGGTATCACTATTTCCATATCGATTTCACTCACCTGGTGATAAATTGAGCTGTACACCCACAATCAAGCGATTCTCACGACTGATAATGAACCTATTATTATAAAACAAAATCGCTATCCTCCTCATTTATGCCATGAAATTCAAAGTCAAGTACGCGACTTAATAAAAAATGATAGAATCGAGGAATCGGACTCCTTTTATAATTTACCAGTTTGGATAGTTTCGAACGCAGTTTTTCCAGTTAATCATTTTTACTTACACGGACAACAATTCATCCTTGTAACTGATCATCGTCCCTTAGTTTGGCTTCACTCCATCAAATACCCAACTTTGCTACTAGCGCGTTGGAAAATAAAATTATATGAATACGATTATACTGTCATTTACAAGGCTGAAAAGATAAATTCTAACTCTGACGCGCTGTCATGAAATCCGGTCTTGACAATTGTCCCTTCAGATCCCTACGAGGCACCATATGAGACGATAATTGAAAATGCATTCCTAATAAAAACCACAGAATCACATCTTCACCGTTCATTTCTCAAATCTACTAGATCGAATACCCCTACCGATGAGACTGACACAGAAACCGACATATCTAATATAGAAACTTCTGACGGATACGAACTGATACGCATGAACAATGGGCTAAGATCTATTCTCGCCTGTACAACGACGCCATTAGATTCGAAAGGCCTGATGAATCTGGCATGGGTGTGCGAGACACTATCGGAGTCTAGTCCATAAGGTTAGGTCATAGAACTTAGAAATAGGCAGTTAGGAAACGAGAAAAAAAGACAGGAGATCGAAAGTGCTTGTGCCGATGGTTTGATCCTTGTACCCAAGCTAGCACAGCTAGGAGATAAGGAAAAAAGACAGGAGATAAAGGGCGCTTGTGCCAATGGTTTGATCCTTGTACCCAAACCAGCACAGCTAGGAGATAAGGAAGAAAAACAAGAGATAAAAGGTACTTGTGCCGATGTGCTTGTGGTTTGCTTCTTGTACCCAAACCAGTACAGTTAAGAGATAACAAAGAATCACAAAAGAAAGAGAGAGAAAGGGCCTGTTTTGATGGTTTGCCCCTGGTACACAAGCCGGCACAGAAGTCAACAGGCGATCTGCCCCTATTATCCAGATCACCAATACAAAAAAAACAAAAAACTAAGAAAGAAGCAGATGCATCTACTCGGAGAAACCAAGGGGACGCCCTTGAGAAGATTAATAAAGAAAACAAAGAATAAGTTAAGAGGTCAAGGAGAACAAAAGAAAGTGGTCGTTATTCATTGGGTGAGGTGGGAAAATTACAGCCATTCTGCTTTCTTTTACAAAATTTTTTATATTGGTGGCACTCGTCAATCCTGGAGGTTCAGGATAGAATAAGATGTAGGTCACTTGCCCATTCGAGAAGAGTGTCGCCGATAACCAGGATACCCAGCTGCACGACTAACATCTACATTCTCGATGCAGTTCGATGTTCTGCTGGTAGATGGCTGCAGAAATTCCCGAGATGCTCTAGCGTATTACAACCACACTTATTTAATTCTGTCACAGGTAGATTCGATTTTATATCGGCACTACCTAGCGGATCCTACTAAATTAAGGCTGCAGTCACATGGAGCGCAATAGAGCATGCAGGATAGAATTGTCCCCATAAGCGGCCGTGTTAAGTCTATTGCGCTGCAGGATAGCCCTATTGCGCGGCGCAATAGACTTAACACAGTTGCTTATGGGGACAATTATATCCTGCACGCTTTATTGCGCTCCATGCGACTGCAGCCTAACGTGAAAAGTTGGCATATTTAGCAAAACTATAAGTTTATATACTGCTTCTATTACGGCAGAAATTTCCGAGACGCTCCGGCGTTTTATAACCACACTAATTTAATGATGTTGTAGGTGGCTTCAATTTTATGTCGACGCCGCCAAGCGGATCCCACTGAACTAATGTGAACATCTGGTATATTTTTGCAAGACTTTGAGGTTATCTATTGCTATTGTTGTTAAATTTTTTAAGATTAAAACTATACTAAAACCATCTAGGAAGTGTCAAGAATCGGTATGCAAAATTTCAGTAAAATCGGTTCCGAAGTTTTCGTGGTTAGCGATTACAACGGTTTTAGTGACTTTGCTTTATATATCAGTAAGATAAGATAAAATTTTATCACAATGTATTCCATACATTAGTATATATAAGTTGTGGTGGCCAATATTTGTAAAAAAAAAATTTTCACCACACTGCGTCGAAAGTAGGATTTTTCGTCTCGTTTCGCGTAATGAAAATCCCTTCTCTAGGCCTAGGATTATTGAAAAATAGTATACGTACAATGCTTAGAGGTTAAGAAATGCGTCAGATTCCATGTTAACCATTAAATAACCGTCGGCTTCGTTTCTGGCGTCCATTCACGTGGAATCTAAGATATTCCTAACCTCACTTGCTGACTAGGTTCGTAATATACTATTTTTGTACTTGGACTGTGTAGCCATCACTTTTTTTATAACAAAAAACACACACAGGAACTTAAAGGCAACTATTATTATTATTTTTTTTTTTCATCGCATAGTATCTTAAATATTTTTAAAATCCTATAAAAAAGTTGTAGGTTAACTGTGAGGTAAAAAATAGATGTCTAGCTTGGTATATATGCGTACATACACGTGTACGTACACATTTAATGTATATCATGGCGCTTTTTTTTATATTTTGGTATTATTATGTAGAAGAGACACAATATTAAAAAAAAATTTTTACCTCTGACACTTGTTCTAAGTTTTCATCTACGCTTGTTGACAACGAAATATTGTTACATGCGACAAAGATATGATACCATAGGCATTTTGATTCATCAATTACTTTGATTCCACTACCTTAGGAGATATTTATTTTAAAAAATATAAATAAATAAGAATATATACCAGGGTCTAGTACAATAACTTCTCTTATACTTTATTGCAACGAAGTATATCTGAAAGTTTCATTTCGATATATTATTAGCAATCTAAAACACTCGCAATAAGTTGTAGATTAATCTATTTACAGTTTAGTTAACATCAATAATTTTTTCCAACTTCCTAATCACTATTAAAAAATGTATTGCTTTGTTGTTAAAAAACTAGATGGAAGAAAGATCAAGAACAATTCAGGTGTATTTCTAGGGCAATTAATATACGACGTTACAGAAAAATTTTTTAATTAAATTGTATGAACAGAAGTGTTTTACAGTCATACGAACCTTAGGATCACCACCAAAGACAGCCTCACCAACAAAGTCGGTGAAATACAGAGAGTAGCAGACATGTGCCATCCAGCAACAGAGATTTGTCATGCAGACCATTCTCATACTATGGGGCATGTATAGTATGGAATAAAGATATTCACTAAGCGTTGCTTTCGGGTTAACGTCAGCACCTTCTTCACCAACTGGAGGAACAGGAAGTGGCGCTGGCACGTCTGGAATGATTGGTACTGTGCCAACTTTCTTTGGCTCTTCTGGAATTGATCTCATTGGAATTTCCTGTAAAATAAATTAAAGAGTTTTTTTGATTGTCCAAAAGTTTATTGTATCAACATAGAAAAGTTCCTTTTTTATGGATAGCTAAATTGATCTCAATAAAATTGTAGTTATAAAATTTAGCTCATCTTAAAACAGTATAGATTAAACAGATTAGATTTATATCACTGATGAGTAATAAATATATTATTGCTTGTATTACCAAACTGACAGCATTTTTTTATAGAATTATTTCGAGAAAAATTAAATTATTAAGACAATCATAGTAAAGTGAGACAAAAACGTTGGTAAGAAAAGAAGTACTTGATACAAATCATAATATTTTTTGGTAAGACTATTTCACAGAAGTGCCTATTATTTTTTCCAGAGCAAAAAGTATGACCACGACACAACCACTACTTACGAAGACATGTAAATCAACTTTTTTTTAAAAATTACATCCGATTAGACGTAAATTTAGTTTATAGCGTGTTTTTATACTACAACTTAACAGTTTGAAATAATGATTTTTCCTACCGAGGGCACACCCGACCCTGAAAAATGACCGAGGTAAAAAAAATATTTTTTTTCTTAAAAAAATGTATTTTGTAAAATTGAAATAAAATGTAATAAAAAAAATCTTCAATTAAAGAAACTAAAAGTTTTTGTAAAGTTGTCTTAGGCATTCATAAGCTAAAAAAATAAACCAAGATTTAATCATATTAGTCCAGCAAATTCTGAGATATGATCAATCATATACGTATAATAATAAATTTAATGATTTAAAAAAAAAAAAATTTTACC